TATAAAAGCCCTTAAATAACTCAATTAAATGATCATAAAGGCCCTTAAATAATTAAAATAAATGAAAAAGTATTTCTGGCTGCGCTCACCAACAGACTGACTGGTTTCTGTGGAAGAAAATATCAAAAATGAATTTCTGCAGTTAAATCAGGCGGAAGTGTCCCGGAGTTGAAGGGACTTCCAGATGTTCACAGCTGGACTGTTTCCAGGTGAGCTGCGAGCTCCTGCAGGCAGGGAGCTGGTTCTGGACTTCATCGTGGAGAGGAAGAGGATGGACGACCTGTGTGGGAGCATCATGGACGGACGCTTCAGGGAGCAGAAGGTGAGCGGCTCAGAGAGCTGCGGCTTTTCACCTTCACAACCGGCAAACTTGCAAAACGTTAGTTTGTTTGAGGCTCGTTCACAGATTTCAACATTTTCATGAGCGTACTCTGTAACACCCCCCCCCCCACCCCCACACACACACACACACACACACACTATGTGGGACAAATATTTATCTTTTAGTGTTTATGTTAATTATAAGAACTAAAGTAGCAGAAACTCTTTCCTCTGACGGTGGGCGAGCCTATGAGAAGAAAAAAACCTCTCGCAGCTGCGGCTCAATAATGTGATGAACCCAGGACGGTCAACAAGTTTTAATTTGAAAATCCAACACGACTCCTTGACCCCCCGGTTCTTTCAGCCTCTTTCTGTTCATTTAAACTTTTCTCTTATTTAACTTTCACCTACTTTTATTGCTAATTTCATCTTTTTTCTTCTCATTAGTTTGTTTTTTGCTACTTTCAGTTTTTTTGTGCGTAATTTTCAACCTTTCAGCTAATTTCTGCTCTTTTTGTCAGCTTTTTCAGCTACTTTTTATGTATTTAGTTTTAGCTGTTTTTTCTGCCTTGTTTGTGCGTTTGTTATTCTTTTGAATATTTTAAACTGCTCTTTCAGCCTCTTTCTGCTAATTTCAGCTCCTTTTTTTAGCCTTTTCAGCTGCTTATATTGCTAATTACTACTTTTTTCTGCTCATTTCAGTTTCTTTTTTGCTACTTTCAGCTTTTTTTTTGTAATATTCAACCTCTGCCTATTTCAGCTAATTTCTGCTCATTGCAGCTCTTTTTTTAAGCTTTTTCAGTTACTTTTTAGGCATTTTTCTTCTAGTTTTAGCTGTTTTTTTCTGCCTTTTCTTTTTTGTCCTTTTGTTATTCTTTTGAATAATTTAAACTTTTTATGCTCCTTTCAGCCTCTTTCGGTTAATTCCAGTTCTTTTTTTTGCCTTTTCAGCTACTTTTTTTTAGCTAATTTCAGCTTTTTTCTGCTCATTTCAGTTTCTTTTTAGCTACTTTCAGGGTTTTTTAATACTGTATATTCAATCTTTCTGCCTGTTTCAGCTCATTTCAGCTAATTTCTGCTAGCCTTTTCAGTTACATTTTTTGCTAATTTCAGCTTTTTTGTAATATTCATCCTCTTATGAGCTCATTTCAGCTCTTTTTTTTAGCTCTTTCAGCTACTTTTAGGTATTTTTCTGCTAGTTTTAGATGTTTTTTTTCTGCCCTTTTTTCTTATTTCGTTTTTTTTTTATATTCTTTTGAATAATTAAAACTTTTTATGGTCCTTTCAGCCTCTTTCTGCTAATTTCAGCTCTTTTTTGAGCCATTTCAGCTACTTTTATTGCAACTGTCTAATTTTTTGGTGAATATTCAACCTCTGCTCAGTTCAGCTGTTTCAGCGTCCTCTCCACTTTTCAGCATTGTTTTCATCTTTCATCCAATATCCGCTGTTTCAATCTTTTCAGCTGGTTTCAGCTTCTTCGGCCGCTGTCACTCTGAACATCGACAGGAAGCGACGGCTGATTTGACGCCGTCGGCGTTCGGTCAAAGAGTTTCTGTTTTTATTCTCGCTTTTATTTTGAAAAGATCAAAAGCTTCATGAAGTCTGTGAACGAGCCGAAGTGAGTTTTATTTTCCGTTTTTGTCCCTCAGTTCCGGCTGAAGAGGTGCGGTCTGCACAGGCCCATTTATTTGGTGGAAGGGGGCGGGGCTTCAGCGTCTCACCTGAGTTTACCTGAGGCCACTCTGCAGCAGGCCATCGTCAACACGCAGGTGCAGATGTGGAACGGCAGCTTCCCGTCAGCAACCGGTGCCGCTGATGGTCCGTTTCACGTGGTGGTGTCTCCTGCAGGTGGTGGACGGGTTCTTCGTGAAGAGAGTCCAGGACGTCCGGGAGTCGGCCGCCTACCTGACCATCATGACGCGATACCTGACCTCGCTGTACCAGGTCCGGCTGAAACCTGCTCCCGCCTCTGCTCCTGTGAGGGAGCTGGATGTAAACTAGACTTGTTGTTTATGGATCGTTTCAGAACCGGGCTCTGACCTGTCGCTCCAGAGAGCTGGAGGGGGACGCGGCGGGTGAGGAGGAGGAGGGAGGAGCCCCCTCCAGCTCTCTGATGTCTTTTGCAGAGTTCAACCACGGCGCCGTCAAAAACAAGGTGAAGACCTGCGGTCACGTCAGGTCAGGTGACGTTCTCCATCTTTAAATGAGGCACAGAGAGTGACCGACGAGGTGCCCGAGTACAAAACAAGTTTCTGAAGCTGCTTCAGACGTCAGGCAGGTGTTCTACCTGCCGCAGCTTCAAGATCAAACGTTTGAGACACTGTCAGACAAATATCTGAGTTTTAAACCGGTGTTGAGTTAAATTTTGTTCCCCGACCAGTTTCCCTGCATTCACCTTCTTAAGCTCCTGTTGTTTGAATCAGTCAAGTTAAGTGTATAACACATTTCAGCAACAAGGCAGTTCAAAGTGCTTTACATCATAAGAACAACACAGAGTCACCGACCAGTCACAAACCAGTCACAAACATTACATATGTCAAGTACCATCAACTGCTTCGGTCAGGGTTTCAGCTGTTTTGCAGTTTTCTGGACGTTTGTTCCAGATTTGTGGTGCAGAGAAGCTGAATGCTGCTTCTCCATGTTTGGTTCTGGTTCTGGAAGCAGCCGAAGTTGTTGGTAAAAGGCTAAAAACAAAAAGTCTTCAGCTTCTATTTTCTGTTTTCCTCCTCGTCAGTGTCAGACGGTGAGAGAAGTGTTCGCCCGACAGCTGATGCAGATCAGTGGCCTGTCTGGAGACAAAGCTGCTGCTGTGCTGGAGCATTACAGCACACCTGACAGGTAAACAACTGTTTACTGCACACCTGACA